TCCTGTTCCTCCCCCCCCCCCTCACGGGAGCAGGGAGGGAAGAAGTAGAAATTAGGCTACAGTGGTAGATTCAAAGCACTTAGTAAAGCGAAGGTCTGACCAAGCAGGGGAAGGAGGCAGAGGGTGAGCCGGAATTCGGGAAGTCAATGTCCCACCTCTTGCAGCCGTGCAGAGAATAAGAACACAGTTACTAGGGATATAGGCATGAGGGTGCCATCAAAGTCACAACAATGAAAGCAATCGTGTGGTTACAGGTCAGTATGATGATGGTGATGGCTGCCCCCATTTTCTGAGCTTCAACCAAGCATTATTCCGTGCATTATCTCTTGTAATCCTTTAAACCCCTGGCATGGGTCCTATTAGAGTCCCCATTTTAGAGATGGGGAAACTGAAGGACAGAGAGATGAAAAAAGAATCCAGATAACACCTTAGGCAATAAGGAAATGGACAGAGGAGACTGGGGAGGGAAAGGTAACTTGTGAGCACACTGAATTTAGGTTTCCCAATTGCTCCATGCTGAGCTTCTTGCCTGCCACTCAAGAGAAATCTTTCCTACATTTGCTCAGGGACAACAAGACAGAAAATCTCAGGTTTTCTTAAGTCAGGGTAGAAACCTTGCCCACTCCCCCCAACCCCCGCATCCACCATGCCTGTCCCTGTGTGACAAAAGGAAATTAGATTCATCCAATAACTTTGTTTTCATAAAGTAATGGGGGTGATTACCCAGTACCCTGTGGTCTTGTAGGTGTTTGCAAATTGATTTTTTTTTATTATTTGTTCCAGTGATTTTCCGAGTATTCAGTGTTTTTCCTAGTCATATTTCCAATTCAGGAGAGCTCATTTTGATACCCACCTTTCCTTCCCTGTGCTAGAATGGAGGGTCAATGCTACGATTATTTAGGATGCTTATGTGAGGCACCAATCAAACTCAGAGGGGGCACACATATGACAGTTTGAAGAAACAAAATCCTTCAGACTTTGTGACTATGTGCAAAAGCAAATGTATTGAGAAATATGTTGGTTCAAATGCCCCAAGTCAATTTGGTTCATTAACTTAAAAAAACAACAAAAAACTTCACTGGAGAACTCAGAGTCCCCAGAACGAACCCATTACTATTATTTTGCCAAATGGACATAGTGTCAAGCTGTCCTCTAAATTCTTATCTGTATTCTTTTAGATTATCTCAGCTCTCAGACCTCATCGGAGATGCTTCTTCATGTAGTGATAGGTGGTTAATGCAGAGACTCCCAACTGGTCAAAATACAGGTGTCTGTGGAGCAGGCCACCACAGAAGGGACGTCTGTCTATACCACAGCCCCTCCTTACAAGACTCCTGGAACCTTCAAGAAGAGGGAACAAAAAGATCATAAGGACCAGAGACAAACAGTGTCTTCTGGTCATGACAGGACCATACACTCATGAACTCTTAAGAAAGACCTGTGGCGCACGCCTTTAATCCCAGCACTCGGGAGGCAGAGGCAGGCGGATCTCTGTGAGTTCGAGACCAGCCTAGACTACCAAGCGAGTTCCAGGACAGCCTCCAAAGCCACAGAAAAACCCTGTCTCGAAAAAAACCAAAAAAAAAAAAAAAAAAAAAAAAAGATCTGTGGTTGCCTGCACAAGACCTGTATAAGATCAAGGCAGTCAGGATCCCAGCATGGATGACAGAAGGGAACACAAGTCCTCGTTCCTAGCTGAGGAGCTACTGACTATGGCTTCTGGGGGAAGGGAGAGCCTGCTTTTTTAAGCATGTGATCCCTGTGGGCTGGACATGCTCCAGTAGATGTCCCGATACCAACTGAGTATGTGGAAACCACAAATTGAACTCTGTAGGTTATAAAATAAAAAAAAGAGAGAGAGAGAGAACCAAAAGTAGGGAAGGGGTGGGGGGATGGATCTGGGAGGAGTTTAAGGTAGGAGCAGAGGGCAAATATGATCAAAATATAATGAATGTATTTATAAAATTCTCAAAGAATTAGTCAAACATTGTTTTGAAAAGTAAAATAAAATTTAAATGTCCAAATAAAAGTGACATCGTGTTCATGTAGTTACAGTGTGAACATGGACTGAAAGAAAACTTCAAATGACTTTAAAATTCATCTTCTGTTGTACTCAACCCTGTAGGAATTCAGCTTTGATGGACAGAGTCTGCCATGTTTTGAGAATGTTCTCTTGGGCTCATATAAAACCCAGTACCCAATGCTATAAGTTAACTTAAAACAGCCACCTTGGTTAGAGGTGGGAACTTTGGGTGGCAATTACAGTTACAGAACATCACCAAAGCAGAGTCCCTTGAATGCCACTGGTCTCATCTGATCTTGGAAAGCAAGAAGATCTGAGCCTGATTAATACTTGGTTGGGAGAGGCATAGCCCACTATTGAAGACAAGTATTTTTCATGATGATGGAGCAAGGGGCAAGGGGGAGCACATATCTCTTGGTGCAGGATAGTCCACATCTCTTGAACTCAGCTATGCACAGAATGGACTGTCCTGTCTACTTGATTGTCCTCCTCGGCTGAGGTCACCTTCTGATGGGCATTTATATGTGACACAAATATCGTCACAGCCTTAGCCCATTTGGAGAGGCCTAGGAACATACCTCTTCCCATAATATCTTTCTAACTCATCTTCCAATCATGCTCCTCCCAAGCCCCTGACCTTCCAATCAACCCATTGGCTACAACTCATGAGCTAATACGTAATATGCTATGTTTCCCTCTAAGTAAAAATTATGGCATTGTGCACTGCCTGGGGTTCTTCTACCCAATGCAATGATTTCCCTTTACCACCATCCTTCAGGGATGTCCCAGGAAGAAGCTATGACAGTGCCACTATCTTTCCCCACATGGTACCCGTGTAGCTAGTGTACAGCACCAACTATAAACTAGGCCATAGACACCTCTTCCTCCATCACCGGGCTTAGGACGCACCCCATGAAACCATAGAACATGCTTGGGGATAAAAGACACCATATCACGAGTATGGACTGTAGGCATTTGGGCCACTTCTTTATGTATGTAACTTACCCATGCCTTCAGGAACGGCTCAAGTCCAATCACATATGTACCACTCGGATTTAATGATGGATCACCGCTGTGCACATCCAATTTTATGATTTGGTGGATCAAATAATTCCCCGTTCACGATGGGCAGCTAAGGTTGCATGGTAACTTGGTGGTCTGTTGTCAGGTGTTGGGTTTCCACCAAGGCTTTGCAGCAGGCCAGAAACTGTCTCTCAAAGGGAGAATACTTGTTTGCAGATGACAGCAGGGCCCTGTTCCAAAGTTCCATTGTGACTCACCTATGAGTATCTGCCAAAGCTGCAAACAGCATTGCTACCTGTCTCAGACAAGTGACAAAGCAATGGTCACTTGTTGCAGAACCTTCATCCCTGTTCTGGGTTCCAGTCAAAACAAACAGCTTTTTAAGTAGAAGGGGCCATGTGCAATGACTTACTCTTCTCTTTAAAAGGAATATAATCGTGTGCCCCATGCCACGGGACTGACTTATTTTTGTGTGTGCACAAGCATGCGCATGCCTTGGCATGCATGGGGGGGGGGGTCAGGAGATAACTTTTAGGAGTGGTCCTAGGGATGGAACTCAGGTCATCACATCAGGCTTAGCAGCAAGCCCCTCTATCTGCTGAGTCATTTCTCACCAGCCTGACTTCCAGAGAGTTTGCTGAGGTAGGAGGCCCTTGAATTTTGGTTGGATTTACATCTCAGCCCCAACAGGAAAATTCTTTACCACTAAGTCCAGAGTAACACTTCCTCCCACTCAGTCAGCCCAATTAGCATAATGTCACCCATGGAATGGACTGGTGTCTTGCCACCCATATAATGACCAGTGTCAGGCATGCTTGTTTAATCCAAAACTCTGAGAATGACCTGAGTTCAATCGAGTTTAATCCCCAGAACCCACAAAAGCCAGGCAGACCAAGCCTGAAGAACTACACCTAAGGTCTCCCTCTGGCCTCCACAGCATACACACTTAAGTTTTTGTTGTTGTTTTGTTTGGTTTGGTTTTTCCAGACAGGGTTTCTCTGTATTGTTTTGGAGACTGTGCTGGAACTCGCTCTGTAGACCAGGCTGGTCTCGAACTCACAGAGATCCGCCTGCCTCTGCCTCGAGTGCTGGGATTAAAGGCGTGCGCCACCAACGCCCGGCCACACTAAATTTCTTTATTAAACACTCGACTAGGAAGGGGCCACCAAATCTCCTATGTGGGCCCTGACAGAAATAACGCTACCTAGTAATAACATAAGGAGTGCAAATTTTTCCTCGTCCATTTTAGGTGCTCAATAAATAGCACCTGCTATTGTTAGGATCCTCGTTTTCTAATTAGCTCTGCTCTATCTAGTTCAATAAATACTGAACCGGCTATTCGATCAGTTTCTTCTATAAACCCTGTTAGAGATTTTGTTCTGTTGTGTTTTCAGACAAGGTCTCACTACATAGCCCAGTGTGACTGAGAAATGGGGGCGGTCCTCCTAGCCTCCCAGATTCTGGGGTGACGGGCATGAATTTTAATAAACATTAATTCTGCCTTTGGTCCTCATGACGTTTGTTTCCCTTAAAATCTGGAAGAACTGCCGGGCCGTGGTGGCGCACGCCTTTAATCCCAGCACTCGGGAGGCAGAGGCAGGCGGGTCTCTGTGAGTTCGAGGCCAACCTGGCCTACAGAGCGAGTTCCAGGACAGCCTCCAAAACAATACAGAGAAACCCTGTCTCGAAAAAAAAAAAAAATCTGGAAGAACTTTGGACGGAGGGGATGTCACACAGGGAAGCCGACAAAGTCGTTTGTTTTCACGGTCATTTTCAGTGTTGGTAGTTTGGGAACGAACTGAGAGTTTCAAAGAACTGAACCCCCGTGGAGAGAAACAGGACTCAAGCCCTTGTGGGTTTTCCGAGCTGCACAGGACAGGTGAAGAGGTGAAGGGTTAGAGCGCAGGAACGTGGGACACCTGAGCGCTGGCCACACAGAAACACTGCGATTTCGGACTGTAGTCTAGAAGGTTTCACTCACTCATTTATGTATTCATGCAATTCATTCATTCAGTTTAAACAGACTGCGTCAAATACGAGGAAACTGTGCCTTTTCTGTTGCCGGTATCGCCTCGCCGCTGAATATTTCTGAAAACTTATTTTTCTTTCCTCTCCCCTCTGAACATCAGCGAAACGAGCTCTCAGACACCCTGAAGTTGCAGCTTTTCTTTCAAAGTTCAGGATTTCTTTGCTTGGGTCCCTACGCTGGTTTCTCTCTTATTGCCACCAGTCTCCCCTGACATATTTTGATCTCTGCAACCTTTCTGTGCTGCTATGACCACTCAAAGAAAGAGATAGAAATCCAGTTCATCTAAAAACTCTCGCTTGGGTCAGGCCAGAGTAAACTTAGTGTTTTAATTATAAAAGATACTGGCGTTCCCACACCGGGAGTCGAACCCGGGCCGCCTGGGTGAAAACCAGGAATCCTAACCGCTAGACCATGTGGGAGACGACGAGTGTGACACCGAGCTCAGGCAAATTGAGTCTCTTTGCTTTGCTCCTCCCATGGTCTGCAGGCTCCGCCCAAGCGTGTGAATCTGACTTGCGCGTGCGTGAACTCACTTTGTCACTGTGCGCTCTGCTCCGCTCCAAACCCCTCCCTTTGTGGTCCATCGGCTCCCCTGGGCTAGGCCCTGCCCTGATTCTGCTGGTCTTCTTGGGACCATAACCCTGCTAGGAGCAGCCGTGGTCCACAGGCCACCACCCACCCACCCACTGCCGCAGCCACGCGGAGCAGGAAGGTTGAGCTGCGGCAGTGGCCACAGTACCCAGCCGCCGATACTCCTTGGAAGCCTGGGAACCCGGTGGCCGGGTGGCAGCTTTCCCTCTCGCTGGCCGTCTCAGCACAGAAGCGGAGGCTCAGCCTGGCTCCCGTCCTGGCCTCGGGGACTTGGGAGGGCCACGGGCGGGTCCTCTAAGGCTTCTGAGTGACATCCAGAGGCCGGCGCGGGACAGACCCGAAATATTAACTGTTCGTTGTGCTCTGCTTTCACGACGAAATTCCACGGCAGCGGGATCCCAGCAACCAACAGTCAGATGACCCTAGAGAGGCTAGCAGCGCCGGCTGCAAACCTACTGTGTGCAGATGTCTCTTCCTGTTCGCCTGTCCGCTCACCATGGCGGTCTTCTATGCTAGCTCTGAAGGTTCCTTTGTTTTCAGTTCTGAGACAGCTGCTTTCATTTCTGGGGACACCTGATTAGGAACACTCAGAATACTCTGTAAAACTAATTTACCAACTACAGAGAGCCCTGCATCCTAGTTCTGAATTTAGGAAGTGAAGCGGGCAGGGATTCCATGATTTCTCCTCTCATGGACTAATAATGATTACTTTTAGGTATCTGGCAGTTTTAACCTTACAAATCACCGCTATTGCCCATCCACTGGGTGGAGGAAAGGGTTTATTCAGCTTACACTTCCACATTGCTGTTCATCACTGAAGGAAGTCAGGACAGGAACTCAAATAGCAGGAACCTGGAGGCTGGAGCTGATGCAGAGGTCATGGAGGAGTGCTGCTTACTGGCATGCTTCCCCTGGCTTGTTCAGCCTGCTTTCTTATAGAACCCAGGACCACCAGCCCAGGGATGTCTCCACCCACCATGGGCTGGGCCCTCCCCCATTGATCACTAAATGAGAAAATACCTTACAGCTGGATCTCATGGGGCATTTCCTCACCTTAGGCTCCTTCCTCTCTGATGACTCAAGCTGGTATCAACTTGACACACAAACCCAGTACAGCAACCTTTCTTGAGCCCCAGAGACTGCCTCCCAAGGAGGCCAGGAGAGACTTTTCCAGTGACTCTGTTGATCTAGAGTCCCTGCTTCATCTGCCTGGGACTTAAATGAGAGCTTCAGGGAGCAAGATCAGAAATCTGGGTATTTGCAAGCACCCACCCCTGTGATGCCCGAGATCTTGAGACGTGCCAAAGTATAGGACTAAGCAGCCTTTTGCCTCTAAAAATATGGTGCCACTGAAGCCCAGAAACTCGTGCCCATGTCCACTTCTGCTTATCTGTAAACTCCAAATTCCCCAGCCAAGCCTTCGAAGCTTTCCACACCCTACCCTGGCACAGTCTGCTCTATCCACAAAACAGCCTACCTGCTCCATCCTGCTTGTCCCTCTGCTGGGACAGCCTCTTTCCACTCTGAGCCAACCTTGAGGCCAGTTTAGCTCGGTGAAACTGCTTCAGGTCTCCCGATCACAAGGCACTCCCATTTTCTCTGAATCTCAAAGCACAAGCCTGAACATTAAAAAAATAAAAATAAATGCATCAAGGTGAATCCCTCACCACCCTTAAGTTATTCAATAAGAAAGTTCAGGAGTTAAAGCAGATTCCATAATACCCTTGAGAACCTAATCCTGTATGCAATCATTTGGCCACGCAGTACCTCTTTTTTCTTTCTTTTTTAAATCTTGCTTAAATACTTCCTGCTGTACTTCTATGTGAAAGTTGCCACCTTTTAACCAGGAGCAAGAACAAGCTGTTCCCCAGGAGAAGGAAACATACACACAGACAAAGCTTTCTTGTTGACACAAGGAACAGTTATTTCTGTCCCAGTACATTCAAGGCTGAGTCTCTGTAGGCAACTCTCCCATGTTATCCACCATTTGATACTGGGGTAAAGCCCCAAACACACTGCACTTGCCAGAGACTACAGTGGCCCAGGGGATGCGGGTGTGACTCAGGCCTGGTTGCCAGGCACTTAGGAGTGGAGGTGGTTTTCATTCCAGGGGGCCAGAGAGTTCACTTTTAGAAAAGCATCAGAACTATGCAGCTGTTAACTCTGCTCTGCAAGGAACAGTTGTCAGTGAACTCAGCAGGACCCAGGGCTAACCTTAGAGCTCTTTGGGGTAACAGCCCCCTCCCCTGCTGAGGGCCAGGGCAAGTTAATCTCCACAGCCTGGTACCAGGTCCAGCATCTAAGACTGGGTGTGATCTCAAAAGGGTCATAGAATGGCAAAGCTTCTCCAACAACTTGTTCAGATCATGTAACCCTATTCCAAATCTAGCAATATCTCCGTGTCCTGTGACTCAGGGTGGACATCTCTGAGCCCTCACGCTGGCTCAGGAGCTCATTGTGGGCCCAGCCCAGCCATCACTAGCTTGAGTCCATGTCCCTCCTTTTTAGTCTGGCTGCTCCCATGGGCAGAGTCCAGTCTCCTGTCCCAGCTGCTGCTCATACACACACACACACACACACTCAGGTGCAACTATGTCCACGGCTTGGTACATTTCTTATATATTGGGTTGGCTTTCCCACCCTAAATGATCTAATTGAGAAAAATCCCTCACAGCTGTGCCCAGATGCATTCAAGTTGACAGCCAAGATTTGACATTCACAAAATCCACCCCTTCATTTCTTCACTAATGAGTCTCAGAGAGATAGTCTTGGCTTCCATACATACATACATATGTGACTGGGCGTCCAATCCTGAAAGTGCATGAATGCATAGCTCTGAATGAGATGGGGTAAAGTGGGGAGAAGTCATAAACTTATTTACAGTGTGAGAATTTTTAAGGCTTTTTTAAAAAGGGGATAGCTCTTTTGTGCAGTTCCCTAGCATCGATTTATAGGTGATGTCATGCAAAATAAGTGTGCATGTACTCTTGCTATTTACACACAGGAACAGCTTCTGTCTCATGGTATCAGTGGCTTCCACTGTGCTATCTCCATGGGAAGCTGAACTGGCACCAAGAGATGTCACATTGGCAAGTGACACATCAATCTCAGTAATGTTTTAACATCCCACTGCAAACGGCAGGCAATTGGTGCTGTTTAGAATGCGGGGCAGCAGCCCTGTGTGAGTGTGAGGGCCCTGATTGCCACACCCCAGCTGGGCCTCACAGGCTCCGCTACACTTGCAACCAGCTCCCTGATTCCGGCTGCACAGGCAAACCTTGTTTTCTACTTCCCTAGCAATTGATTTTCACGCTAAAAGTAAATATCGTCCCTTTTCTGTTGTTCTATATAAATATGTATTGCTTGCTTATTATGTTTCGACTTTTTGTTTTTTTCAAGACAGAGTTTTCTCTGTGTAGACCTGGCTGTCCTGGAACTCTCTTTGTAGACCAAACTGGCCTTGGACTCAAGATTAACCTGCCTCTGTCTCCCAAGTGCTGGGATTAAAGGCGTACGCCACCCCCTACTCTATTGTTGTATTTTAAAATCACAGTACAGCTTCTGCAACATCTCCAAGGATTTCCCCTCTTTGTCTGTTGTCAGCATATCTGGTACTGTCACTGACTCTGCCCTGATGATAGCAGGTAAAGGAGGAGTCTTAGAAAGTGCAATTGCTACCCAAAACTCACCCTTAATGAAGTATCATTGTATAGAATACCAATAACATTTGGGCACAAAAGAATTTAAAATGGCTGTTGTAGAATGTTAGTTGAAGATGTGTTGCCTGTGTTTATGCTGTGGGACATTTGTTTAATGATGCAAACATGTATTTCTTTTATGTTGTATTTGTTTAACTCTGTGAAACTGGGTTACTTTGCCAGTCTAAAACACCTGTTTGAGCTAATAAAGAGCTGAACGACCAATTAACTAGGCAGGGGAAATGATAGACAGGGCTGGCAGGCAGATAGAATAAATGAGAGGAGAAATATGGGGAAAGAGGATAGAAGAACAAGAAAAAGGAGGAAAGGAGGACTCCAGGGACAAGCCACCCAGCCACACATCCAGACATGGAGTAAGAAGTAAAGAAAGATATGCAAAAATAGAGAAAGATAAAAGCCTAGAGGGAAATGGTAGATGGGATAATTTAAGTTAACAAAAGCTGGTTAGAATAAGCCAAAGTAAGGCAAGGCATTTATAAGTAAGAACAAGACTCTGTATGATTTTTTTTTTTGGGAGCTGGGTGGCAGGCCCCAAAAGAAAAGAAGAGTAAAAACAAACAAACAAAAAAAACCAAAACAAAACAAAACAAAACAAAAAAAAAAACCAAAAGCTAACATCATACCACAAGGGCCAAGAGACTAAACATTGCCAGGTTAGGGATTTCTGAATTGAGGTCACCTGTTTAAATTTTATATTACTAAGTCATTTGTTATCAAAACCAAAATCTATGCCAGAACTTGATGATGAAAACTGGCTTATAGGCTTAGCATTTTAGTTACTTTAACCACTTACTTAAATGTGTTGAACAAGTGTCTTTAAAATGCAAACCATCTTAGCAATACAATGTTTCAAATCATGACAATATCCCAAATGAAAGTGAAATAACGGGCACACTCTGAGTGAGGCAAACAGCCTTACCCATTTGGATACTTTTCTAATCACAGCCCTGGGAACAGAGAAAACACGTAGGATTGCTTATCAGTTTGACGCAAGAATTTAAAAACCATTGCAACATTTCTGGGAAAATAATAGCTTAGTATATTTGCAACTCCATTTTCTGTTGACATAAACAGTTTCGATTTTGTACTTAATTTTTAAAAATTTGACAACCTTCACACTTGTTCACAATGACCCACGGTTACATTCTCATAACACTACCTATCCATGCCTCCCCCTCTCACACCAAATCCCTTCTCATCACCAACTAGCCCTCCTCTTACCCTCCTCCTCCTTCCTTTGTAGAAAATTTTCTTTGGATTTCTGTGTGTTTTGCCTGCATGTATGTGTGTTCACTGCATGCGTGCTGGTGTCCTAGGAAGTCACAAGAGGGCATCAGGTCCCCAGAAACTGAAGTTACAGATGGGATGGTTGTGAGGTACCACATAGGTGACTGGGTTTGAGCTCTGTCTCTCTGTCTGTGTGTGTGTGTCTCGCTCTCTGTCTGTCTCTCCCTCCCTCCCTCCCTCCCTCCCTCCCTCCCTCCCTCCTTCTCTCTCCCTGTAGGTAGTCATTAACTGCTGTGTGTTCATACGTGCAACCCCCAAGTCATATCTACCAAACAGTGCCCACTGCACCCCCATCCTTTACTTCCCAGAGTCCTTCCTCCTTCCCCAAAGTGCCCTGGGCCTCAGGGTAGATCATAAGGCATCCTGTTGGGATAAGGCACTCAGTACTCATTTCTTTTCTGCACTTTAGTCATGGGTCCGCACTTTGACCTGTCCATTCTGGCTTCTCTCACCAAGGCTGAGAGCTGCATTAGCCATTGGGCACAAATAGAAATATTTAAAAGGAAGTCTAACATGTTCAGTTGGCTTGCTAATTTTCCAAGGGAATGCACAGAGCTAGTCTGCCATTCAACTTGAAGAAAACCTTGCTCATGACTCCTTCCTAGACTTTAAGTCCTCCCAAAGACAGAAATCCCTCACTGCAATCATACTTTCCTCTCAGCATCACTCTTGGGCAGCACCTATTATTACCAGCAAGATTTTTTCAAGAATAAAAGGCACTAAGACAAAAATCTGAACCAAAATATCTGAGAATGAACTTGAGAAGTCACTGGAAGTAAAACATCTCTGTCTGGCTGGAGAGATAGCTTAGAAGTTAAGAACATTGACTGCTGCTCTTCTAGAGGTCCTGAGTTCAATTCCCAGCAACCACATGGTGGCTCACAACCATCTATAATGAGATCTGATGCCCTCTTCTGGTGTGCAAGCATGTAGGCAGAACACTGAATACATAATAAATAAATAATAATAAAAATCTCTGTCAAACCAGCTATCAATGCATTTGTGTCTCTGACGCAATGTGGAATGTCCCACTAGTTTTATATTCAGTTTCCCATTCCCAGAGCATCTTCACTCTGCCCACAGATCCCAATGGCTGTTTAGAACTGTGCGCCCCTGCGTTAATGAGAACAGAAACTATAAATGGGCTAGGCAGTTGAGGGCAGGGCCCGGAAATCAGTAGGACCAGGAATGTCCTTGGTTCTCTGGTTTCCTATCTCCTAAATGATCACCGTTGCCCAGAAGCTATATACTCCAGGGCGTGACTAAGGTGTCAGCCACACCTCACCTCAGCGTTTATAATCCTTCTAGTGACCAACTTTAAAATTAGAACTCTGGATTTCCATGGTAAAAGTAGGCTCTATCTGTTTCCCAATTTCAGTTCACTTCCTGTGACTGGAGGACTACCTCTTCAGAGAGAGGAATGTTACAGTAACCCTGATCTGGGATCTGTAGAGGCCCACCAGTGAAAGCTATTTCTCTAGTCTGGAACATAGCTAACATTCCAAGCTACCCTGCTCATAAGTGTTAATCCAGTGAAGTAGGTCAACCACCAGCCTAAGAGGCCATACCTCTGGAAGACTACTTCACCTTCAGCTATGATAAAGACATGGGGAAATAATTATCTCTTTAAGGAGATGATGTATTTTTCCTTCCCAGAAAACCCAACCCTGGTGCAGTTAGCTATGGAGCACGACTTGGGAAATTTGTTAATGTTTCCTTTTTCTTCTTTTCTGTTTCTTTAGGATGTGACCAGCATCTAACTACTTAGGCCATTTTAGTACTTCGGGTTTTTTTTTTTTACTCCTTTCTTCTGAAGCTATCTGTCTCCTCCACACCCCTTTCCTGCCATATGGCTGCTGACAAATGGTATGGTTTTCTCACTTCATTCTCTT